TTCACGAGACATTAACGGGACATTTCCGCCACACTTCCAATGTTTAAATTTCAACATTTCAACATACAAATGCGTATGTATAGACATAACACCACCCGTATACATACATGTGTCATAGCCGAAACTGTCTACATATGTTTATATATATGTATGAGTCCCAACGGACGACCAAGTATGTATATGTGTCTGCATACATCGATGTTTGCGTTAATACGATGAATGACAAAACGACGAAATTTCCCCCACCACTTCCACAATAACACCAATACACGCAATCTACATAAACCCAAATTTTTTAAAACATTAATCAGTTTGTCTGATGATCGCTAAAGCGTGAAACCCAGGGTCACAAACTCACATCTATCCAACCAAATATATATATATATATATATAATGAAATCAGAGTCCTTGGAAATCAATTGGTAATAATATATTTCACTGGATCAGCCGCCATTTCTTCTGATCCCGTGAAATAAATTATTACCAATGGATTTCTAAGGACCTGCTTTCATTATTATATTTGCTCTGTTTTTACATTGAGCTCTCTTTGGATGTATATCCTCTTTTGGAATTATCCCTACTGATTATCAAATAATATTATATATATATATATATATATATATATATATATATATATATATATATATATATATATATATATATATATATATATATAATATTATTTGGAAAGATGGCTTTCCCTGACGATCTGCTTAGGTGAAACTTTTGGTAGGTATGTCTGGCTCTCTAGGTTTGACTACATCTGCTCTACTTTTGTATTGAGCACTTTTTTTTAGTTAGTTGATTACTCGTATCGGGTTTTTTTTTCTTTTGGCTTTGGACCTGTATGCTGTACGATTATTTTCGACAGACGTTCATGTTCCTAGCTCTTTCTTTCTTTAAAACCGTTTTTTTCATTCCAAATTGATTTGACCATTAGCAAATCAAGAAACCGAAGGTTTTTGGAGACGAGTGTAGTTATTTATATATATATATATATATATATATATATATATATATATATATATATATATATATATGTTACGAACTTGTAGCATATAGATGAACCACGGGTTCTAAAAAAAGGAAAACGTGGTTTCTTTTCTCGGTCTTCACTCAGAAAGTTCATGGGCCCTTGGCTCGTGGGTGGAAGAGCGGATAAGGAGAGAAAGAATTTGGGAAAAGAAAGGAAGGATATGGCTGATCATAGAATATATTCGCTCGCGAGTCGGAAGCATTGGATTAAATTTCTGTTTTTATTTATTTATTTATTTTTCTTTCATATCTAACTAATTTTCTCTTTATTTAAGATTTTACTTTAGCCTAACGCCTATATGGTTAATGAAATCGTGGCTACGTGACAATATATATATAGTTGTCCCTCGTTTATTGCGGTTAAGCAGTTCCTGAGCCTACAGCACTCAGTGAATTTCATCGAACTATGATTCTTTATTTATAAATCAAATATTTTCGTAGTTAGATCATAAAATACCTGTTTACGATCTTCTAAATACGGTTTTGACATCATAAGAGATCTATGACAGGAAATAACACCCTTCTAGTCATCTTTATGTTTATATTATTCAATATATTAGGCATAAGAGAAAATAGAATATATTAGACTTTATTATATTGTTATTATTGTATATTAAAATCACACACAAAGTTCTTACGTGTACATCGCTTTATCAAGAAAGTTGCATTATTTTCCTAGGTTAGTGTGAACCTAGGAAAATAATACAACTTGTTCGATGATGAAGTAGAGAAGGGATGTAACGCACAACAAAGGTTACTGCTCCTCTAAAGCACGATTTCACCAGAAGAGTCTTTAGGTGGTGCGTCTTCTTCTTCTGCTGAAGGCATACTAGGCCTAGGCGGTGGGTGTCTCAGTGCTCAACTGAAAAACATCGTGATAGGCAGTTCCGGGCGCTGTCTTTTTACCTGCATGAGGAGGCTTTTGTAGGGTTTCATCGCTCCATCAAGTGAATTCCGGAATCACAATGCACGCATTATTTGTGGGTCCATTCGCTAATGATTTTCTGTACTTCCTTAATATTTCTCACGACTTGCGTAAGTGTAAGGCAAGTGTATAATTGACTCAGACAACCTAGCACGCCCTGTATTATTTTTACTGTCTCGATCAACTGAAGGATCGGCTGTGTTCCTGCTCCTGAGATCTGGGCTAGAACTTTTTTTCCAACCGTTTAGTCGACGGTAATCAACTGCGAAGCAGCGAGGAACTGCAATATGATTTTTAATCAAAGGATCTGAACAAACAGCCATTGAGTGAATCCGAGAAAAAGACGCTCCTGCGAAAATCTCTTTCTGGATATGAGTAACATTTTTCTTTTTCTTTTTTATTAATGTGTGTTTTCGTTTCCATGTCGACAATGGGTTCAACATTTTGGAACCAGCCCACCAAATTTTTAAAAAGTATTTTTGATACATATTATATATATATATATATATATATATATATATATATATATATATATATATATATATATATATATATACCGGATGTAACAGCAGAATTGTCTAAATCGTGTAACAGCAAAATTGGCCAATTGTCACATTATGTTTTATCTTAGAAATGATTAAAGATATCTTACTGGAATTCTCCGAGGTTTTTACAATACTATTTGACTCTACTTTAAGCAATAAGAATGTTTAATTATTCTCCAAGCTTAAAAGAATCGTGATGTAGTGAGATATATAATAGATACATCTATGTGTAATGAGATATCTATACATGAATATTAAGTGTTGAATATGGGCATAGAAGCACCTTTCTCTAAAGAAAAACGTATGCTTTAGAAAATATTCTTAAAGACATTTAACCAAAATATACATATATATCTGAGTATAAGCAAGCCTCATAGGGTACATCGAAGCGGTGTAATGGTTAGCAAGCTTGCCTCGCTAAAACAATTACTACTTTTCGCCTTGTTCCACATGGAAGCTACGCTTGGAAAATCACTATAAAGAGCGCGGATAATTAATTCTTATGGCAGATAAATGCACAACTCGCTGAGTCCCTTTGCGTTTTTATACTAGAACTATTTTGAACGTGAGCTTAGTTACAATTTCCGAAAGAGACCGCATAGCCTGGCGTGATCCTATTTTCTTTCCTGTTTTGACAAGGCCAGACCCCTCGAGCTAAAAGTCACGATGATTTGTGACTTCGTGTGAGCACACCCACCAACAGCATCCGAACAGTTCCGCCTAACCAATTACACTCACAAGGCTTGTACTCTCAAACTCTCGGGCACGATGACATGTGACTTCGTGCGAAGGTTCCGTCAACACAATTTCACTCACATGGTTTGTACGCTCAAAACCTTCGGACACGAGCACAATCATCGACGGATTCGGATCGGTTGCGTCTATCCAATTTCACTTACAAGACTTGGGGTAACCCATGGTCTGGTTTTCAAGACCGTTCGAAAGGTGCCTGCACTGAGATCGCCTCCCCGATATAATCAAGCAACCTTCCTGATAAATCGACCAAGGCGCGATTCGAAACCGAGACTCAAGGCCAGAAAACGAACGTTGTAAGCACACTCTCCTACTCGACCATAAACACACACACACACACACACACACACACACACACATATATATATATATATATATATATATATATATATATATATATATATATATATATATATATATATATATATATATATATATATAAATATAAATGAATAATATATATATATAGAGAGAGAGAGGTGGAGAAAGAGAAATGAATAGATTTAAATAGATAGATATACAAATTCATAGATATATATATAGTTATATATATATATATATATATATATATATATATATATATATATATATATACATATGCATACACACGCACAGAAGCACAAGTCAAGAAAATATTCTTGAAGACATTTTGTCTCATATTTATATTATTATTCATGCATTTTTAGAATATATATATATATATATATATATATATATATATATATATATATATATATATATATATATATATATATGCGCGTTTGTGTGTGTGTAGTCCAACAAAAAGAAAAACAATTATATATTGTTGAATAACTAGGAACAGAGGTAGATAAATACACATATATAGAGATTTATTTTATTTACTTTATCTCTCTCTCTCTCTATCTCTATCTCTCTTTCTCTCTCTCTACACACGCACACACACATATACACATATACACATACACCACACACACGCACACATTCCTGTAAATAGAATAAGGAACAATATATATATATATATATATATATATATATATATATATAGAGAGAGAGAGAGAGAGAGAGAGAGAGAGCGAGAGAGAGAGAAACAGACAGACAGACAGGGGCACAGAGAGAGAGTGTGAGGGAATGTGAGTAGGGGGTCGGTATACTTACTGTCAATAGTGAACGCAGGTGATCCTATGTTCTAGTGGTATGGACGCTAACAAAGCAAAAACTGTAGAAAGTAGTTCTTCAATTAGAACTTAAAACAAATCCAATAAAGTTTTCGCTTCTTTATTTATTTATTTTTATTTATTTATTTATTTTTAGTGAAAAACTCCAGCTCGAAAGACATAATGGAGAAAACCTAATTGAAAATTTATGAAGCAGTTTCTGAGCGAAAGGAATTTGGAGCTGTTGTGCCATTAACGAAGGCCAGCGGCTTGTGTCTCTCTTATTTTTCCCTACGAGTAGATAATTAATAGTGCGCATGTGCGGCAAACGAAAGCATATATGACAAAATGGCAACTAGTAAATAATCAATGCTTTACCGAAGCCTTAAAATGTATAAAGCCATTTGAATAATCAGTATGCGGAAATACAGAATAAAGGAAATGAGGAAAGACATATTTGTTCGTTAGAGTAATCAAGTTCATTACAAATTAATCATTAGTAGGAGTATCAGTGAGAGTTACATTTTCAGCCCGAAGAGAACTAGCGACCGTCACCAGGAAAGAGGTAATATAAGTGTTATAAAATATGTTGCACTTTTCTTGCTCCTACGACCATATCACGTTGAGACACCGGCCCCCGTACGATCAACAAAGTTAAGGAACGTCGAGTCTGGTCAGTATCTAGATGGGTAACCGCTTGGGAATAAAAAGTGCTGTAATCTTGTATGTTCGGGTTGTGCAATGGATGTCTCTGAATGGTTAATCGGAGAACCGAGTTCCAATTTCACTTGGGTTCTCCACCCGCAAGACTAGCATCACTAAATCAATATTATAAAAAAAATTTTTTTTTAAAATACAGCCTAAAAATATTTTCTGGCGTTAAATAACCTGCAATGGGTTGATAAACCGTAAAAAGCAGATCAATGAATCAAACAAGCAATTTTCTTAATATTCGCGCCAACGCACACGCTGTTGTGATTTGCATAATCATTCCACTTCATAGTAAATACGTAACGGTAAAACTTGAATAAATAACAATTTACACTGTTTTGTGCGAACTGTTGTCCTTATCTTTATTGCCGTATTCACGACGATTCGGTTGTTGTACGCTCCGGCCTTCTTCAGGTGATATTAGGCGGAATTTCAAACCGAACCCTTTATTAATCCACGAAATAAAAGCATTGTTTGAGTGATCCAAAAGTGACTTGACCGAAAGAGTTGTGAGTTCAATACCTGGCCACAGCAGAGAGAACACAAACATAAAGAGTTTATTTACCAAAGGGAATTACCTGAAACTGAGATATCCAAAGGTATGGCACATGGAATTAGAACAGTTCAGCCACTGGGATGAAATAAAATGTTCGGTTCAAAATTCCGCTTAATATTCATATTATTTACATTATTCGAACTGCTACCCTCCTCTTCATTGCCATATTCACAACGTTTCGGTCGGTGTACGCTCCGGCATTCTTCAGGTGATTGGAATTTTAAACCGAACCCTTAATTTCGACCACCGGGGTAGATTGTTCTATTTCGACGTGCCATACCTCTTCCGGATGCTTCCGTTATTTCACTTTAACCCAACTCTGCAAGCTTTTTGGTTCACCACTGCTGTAGCCTGGTATTTAACTCACAACTCTTTCGGTATAGTCACTGGATCTAACCAACGTCTTTATCCACTGGGCCAGGTGTCCTTGAGGCCACCTAATATCACCTGAAGAAGTCTGGGACGTACAACAGACGAAACGTCGTAAATATGGCACTAAAGATGAGGACAACACTCCGAACAATATATAAATAAATAAAATAATAAATAATGCTTGATCTCAGAAATATAAACTGATAAATAAATTCCAAATCTTTGGCTTTGTTAAAAAGTTCATATAACGTTGGTAGTTGTTGATTAATAAGAAGACTGTAAGGAAAACACTTGAATAAAAAAGTTGAGTGAAGAAGGGTTTAATCACATGGGAACATGGATTTAGGATACAGTTCATTACGACAAGCGTACGACTGAAATCGCTATGCCTTAGCAACCCACTTTTGCGACTGTTCCATGAGAAAACGTTTTACTCACAGCGGATGGACGAGCCTATTTTTCAATAATAGGTGTAGAAAAGGTTAGAACGTCTTTCTACACAACAGTCTTAAGTCTCATGTCCGAAGTTCCAAATAGACGACGCCAGATATCAAATAAAAATTAAATCTCTGGACAGCTGTGCTTGCCGATGGCTTTAAGGGACACCATATTTCTGCAATATTATTCCCGGAGTGGTCATCGCCTCCACTCTCAACAATAACGAGCGATTCATCACTTGTCATTATTATACTCGTACGGGTGTCCAGTACGTAACTATCCCAACCACCAAGTCCCGAGAAAATGATTTGAACGCATCCTTTCCCGTTGCCATGATTTGCACTGGTAGAAGCGATCGCAGTCGACGAACGTGGGCGTAAGATTGGGTTGGAAAATGTTGGATTGTTAGAGACTTACTTCAATATCGCTTTATGGCGGTAGCGATTATAATCAAGGCGATCAGCGTGTAAGCCTGATGATGGTACTAGAAATCAATGTTTATTGGCAGGGCAGGGAAGGTAGCAACGGTTCCTGTCAAAACAACCGTTGCGTTAATGGCGATCGTGTTCTGATAGGGATGATCTTGATGCTCGTCTTCAGTTACAATTATTTCCGTCTTCAGCCGACACCGGCGGAAATACTTAACCGAGAAATATCAAACGTTCAAATATTAATTTGAATCGTATAACAAAACATAGAAACAGATGCTATCTAGCAAATACGTTTTAATTAAAAATAATCCGTTCAGTCAAGCCCACGCATCTAATAACTACACAACTGTGTGCAGACTATGGCGGGCGGATCGCTGGGGTCACTGTAACGTTTACCGTTAACCACTCTCCTCTCTCTCTCTCTCTCTCTCTCACACACACACACACACACACACACACTCTCTCTCCCTCTCACACACACACTCTCTTTTTCTTTCTTTCTTTCTCTCCCTGCCATGTCCTTTCAGGATGTTGGTGATCATGGCTCTCCACGATTTCCTTAATTATTCTGCTTTCAGCAGTATTTCCCACAAGATTTATGATGGAGCTTTAGTGAAAGTGGAAACAAAAAGGACGCTTATACTTCACATCAGAAAGAGACAGCTGAAATTTCTAGGGCACATAATGAGGAAAGAAGGCTTGAAAAATTTGATTTAATTGATTGAATCTTTTTCTACAGCTTATAAACTCAAGGCAAAATGGACAGGGGTAACCTGCGGGTATCCTACCTAACGAGTTTGTTTAAATGGTTGGCAGAACAGGGATTAGAAAATATAGTGTATGATTGATCACGGTTAGTGGAAAATTAGTGAAGTGACAAAATATACTAACAGAAAATTGTGGAGAGTCATGAACACCGAGGTCCTGAAGGGACAAGACCCAAAGAAAAAAAAAATTGTTTATCCATCCATTGGATCAAAGTTACCGCTTACATCGGTTTTTCTAGCCTTCGATGCGATCTGTGTATGTTAAACATTCCGAACATTCTGTCTTCATTTTGTGTCTGAAAGGTTTCAGCATTCCGTATCTGGTTGTTACCAATAATTTCCTTGCAGTCACAATTATTTAAACCTTTGAGTCCTGCGTTCCTGAACAATTTTAACCCTTCTGCCAAAGCTCCTGGGTCTAAATTCGCAAATAATTGGTACGCAACGTTTCACGGTAGATATAAAAATAGTTACAAGTGCTTAACCACCGTTTAATCCGTGACTGGGCATTACGTCATTTTTCTTTACCACCGTTCAACCGGTGGCTGTGTATTACGTCATTTTTCTCCACCCCCGGTAAAGCGGTGCCCAGGGCTCAAAGGCTTAAGATCTTCTTTATTTGTTAAATACTCTATCCGTGATATTTTCAATATTAACCATTTCAAACTGAAGAGTTTGGTTTATTTTGTTTTATGGCATATCAACATCAATGGATTATTTAATGCCGAGAAATTTTTTTATTGCTGGTAATATTTTGTTTTGTCAAAAATCTGTTTTTTGGTTGTATTTTTTCCTTCAAAATTGTATTGCTGGTAATATTTTTTTTTTCAAAATGTATTGCTGGTAATAGTTAATTTTTTGCACATAGCTGGGATCCCAAGAGGTGCTACCCCCCTCTCCCGCAAATAAGAGGTGGTTCCACGGTCCTCAAAACCTCCTGATCAGAGGCCTTGCTGCTGGACGTAGTTTATCGTCTTACCCAGGACGCGGAATGTATTTTACTGTCTTACACAGGACGACTAACTGAAGAGATTAGACATAGTAGATTAGACATCTTTTGTTTCTTTCTAATGACACTACAATACTTTACAAACATGCAGTATTCCTGAAACAAAAACTTACTTTACTATTCCTATATGCCTTCTGTTTGCAATATCACACAAGTGTTTACTAGGAGTGGCAGAGAACGAGGAGACTTTAGCAACGTCAAAGGAATATAAAAGAACAAGAGTCAAGAAGACAGAGGATGGCAACTGAGTTTGCATCTAAAATGTTGAAGATTGCAGGTAGCTTAAGGCAGTGAGAACTGTGAGAAAAGAAACAATTTACGGTTATATCTAGATACTTCAACAGGAAAACGATGAGACCTAATTGCCAATCTAGTAATACGTTTGTCGTTGAGGTACCAAGGACGTGGGATCATTATAACGACTGCCATGAAAATGTAAAAAAAAATACGAAACTTAGGAGACAGCTCCCAAATGTTGGTTTTGTATCGTTTTAGGCTAAGATGAACAAGCTGGTTCACCTTGTCGAAGAGCAACGGTTAGCAAGCTCGGTTACGACAACAGTAGTAAAATTATATTTCACCGTATACGTCATATTTGTAAAAATTATTAAATATCTATATGAGCATTAGTGTAAATGTGTCACGCTTAACCTTTTATACGGATACATAGATCCGTACACGAAATGCGAAATAGTTATGAGCTCATTATAGATCTACAAGTCGATAACTTTTTATCAGGTAAGATTTTGACTTGGAAATAAATTTTACGAAAAAGAAGACATATTATAAGAAAAATTAAAATTTAAATAAATACCAGAGACGTCGCAAAATATGAACATTTTATGAAAGATAATAATAATAATAATAATAATAATAATAATAATGGCCAGCAGTGAGTAGAGAAGTGGTTAGAACATTCACCTCCGTCAGCAGCCGAAAATGAGCAAATGAAACACATGTGGGACAACGAAGATCTTGACTGACAAGCGGTTGGAGAGCAATCGCCCTGATATTACTTTTGTGCAAAATGCTGCCACGAGAAATCCTGATAGATGTTGCAGTATTTTAGGTAAATACTACTATTGATAATAATAGCCTGGGGTTGCATAGAAAAGTGGTACGAACATTTCAGAAGCCGAAAATGTTCAAGTGAGCCTCATGTGGAATAACGACAAACTTGGCTGACAAGCGCTTGGAGAGAAATCGTCCTGATATTACAGTTGTGCACAGTGCAGGGTGGGGGCATCAATACATCTTAATAGACATTGAGGTAACTTGGAATAAGAACCTCATGAAGGAGAAGCAGGCGAAAATACATAGATACCAGCACCTACCAGGGCAAATCAGAGAAATATACCAAACTGTATCTAAAGCTGTGTTCCTGTTGTGCTTGTTACACTCAGGAATGTCTCCAAACATATGTCATGCAAGACACT